TATATATATATATATATATATAAAACAAAACTTATCAGAGAATAAGAAAGTGGTTGTGGAAAGAAAAATCATTTAAAAACTGTTAAAAAATACTCTCACTCTTTCTCTGTCTCTCAAAAAAATAAATGAAATCTTTAAAAAAATTTAAGAAAATAAAAACTGTTAAAAAATAAAACCAAGGTTACAAATCAAAAGACAGAACAAAAAGTCAAAAAAGGAGGAAATTATGAGAGAAACATCAGAGATGTGGAGGTTCAAACTCCGTCATCCAAATAATAAGAATTTTAGGAAGAGTGAACAGTAAAAAAGGAGGCAAGACACTAGTCAAATTACTAATTGAGATTATTTCACAGTATTTAAAATCAAATATCAGATTGAGAACACCCATGGATGGCCTGAGATGGGAGATGGGCAAAGTCCTACGACTAAGATACATTTCATGAAATTTCAGAATATTGAAGATGACGAGATGGTCTTAAAAGTGATTGTGGAAATATGCCAGTTTATAGGCAAATGAACAGAAATCAGATTTACATTAGAAAACTGGATGCTATAAGAGAAAATTGTACATTCTTGCCAAACTATCCATAATGTGTGAGGACAAAATAGATTTTTTTTTTCAGATTTGTAAGGCACACTGAAGAAAAAATGAAATAAAAACCAAGGAAGAAAAATGCACAGGATTTTTAAAATGCACTTAATTCAAAATGCCAGGATGAGAGATATGCTGTGTAAATAGAGAGCAACTAGCTCTAATTGAAACAGGAAGTCAGGGTGCCTGGGTGGCTCAGTCGTTAAGCGTCTGCCTTTGGCTCAGGTCATGATCCCAGGGTACTGGGGTTGAGCCCCGCATTGGACTCCCTGCTCCACGGGAAGCCTGCTTCTCCCTCTCCCACTCCCCCACAGCCCTCTCTGGCTGTGTCTCTATCAAATAAATAAATAAAATCTTGAAAGAAACGGGAAGTCAGAGCCTTCATTTTAACAAATGTTATGATGAAGAACTTGTATGATCTTAGAGACTGGGTAAGGCATATACTTCTTCTATAGGTGAACAAAAGGAAAGGTAATTCAAATCTCCACAAAGACCAAAAAAAAAAAAAGTTATTAAGAACCCTAATCAAAATTTAAAGCAAACTTAACTGATTCATGATTTCAAGTAACTGGTATAGTTTGAGAAAAGATAAGCCATTGAACTCTGACACTGTTCTTCAAGGAAGTGGAGAGGGAAGATATTTAAGTTTTAATTTACTGTATTTCTGTGCCATTTGATTTTTTTGTACGTGTATATAATTTAACTAGTAGAGGTAATATAATAACTACAATGGAGTTATGCACTGGTGTTTTATGAGCACAGAGTCAGGGTAGGTAGTCCAGACTAGGAATACTCAACTACGTATTCTGAAAGGAGATACATAAGTGGTACCTTATGAAATGAGTTTAGAAGTATTTCAGCAACAAATTGGAAGGATGGTGGGAAGGGAGAGAGAGAGTAGGTAGAAGAAACTCCAAAAAGAAGAGTATGAACAAAGAAACAGAGGAATGTATCAATACATCTACTTACTTATGCTAGATCTTTCTGTATAATTGCCACTGGAGATAAAAGTTAGTTAAGAAATGAGCACTTCCTCAAAAGTTTACAATCAAATGGTAGAAACAGATCAGCAGGATTGAGTTGCAATACAGTGCCACAATTTGGGTGGTGGGATTTGCTGTTGAAGATGGGAGAGTAGGAGGTGGGTTGTGTGAAAACACATGGAAAACTATTAATATTTGGACAGTCACTGAGGGGCATAAGAGAAAGCTCACCAAAGACACATTAAGGGATTGTCTAGAAGCTTGAGGACCTTTCTGTCACCCAATCAGAAGATAATACTCTTCTCTCCAGAGACACTTAGCATCCATTTCGAAGGTGCTGAAAACATATAATATCAGACTAGTTTGAGGGTTGATCCAAATTGTTTGACAGAAATGCAGAGCATTGATTGGGATTGAAAAGACTGATGAAGAGGTAAATCAGGTCATTAATATGGCATCTGGGACCAAGATATAAGTGACAACAGAGAAGTATGATACAAAGACTAAGAAAAATAGGACTGAGGTTCTATATGTTTAAGGATTACAGGATCAATAAACAGGGCACAGCAGAGTGCTAACAGTGGTCCTTAGAATAATAACTATGTGCTTTCCTATCTGCATATAATATGCCTTCCAGCATGCTTGGCTGAAGTGAACACTCTGATATTCCAAATCCCCTCTTGACATTACTGAACAGAGTACTGTAGTGCTCGCTTCGGCAGCACATATTGTAAAATTGAACAGATTACTGTAGGTGTGATGTGATACAAATATGTGGCAGGAGTAATACCATTTACCATAGCTAGGATTTGGTGGAAAGCACAGAAATGGGAGCCCAGGAGATCGAGCACGGAAATCTGAAAAACACACCTGACCTTTCTGAGACTCATTTTCATCTCTCTCTAAAAAAAATTGAACTATCTGTAGTATCATCTATTTCTTGAATCATTGTACAGATGTTATAATTCAAAACTTGGGGGAGTGTTTTAACAGATCGTTCTATATGTCAATATAAAGCAATACCTAACATGTCTTAGGGTTATCTTTTATTACCTGCCTCATTTCCTTCATTGTTGCAATTATCACTGAAGCAGAATTAATCCCAAAGACATAATTTGCTTAGTTAGGCAAGTGATCTACAAATGACCTAGTTTGTCTGATGTCTCTACTCAACAGGCTTCAATCATATAAAGACATTTATTTTGTTAGTTTCCCTTTATTTGATCAGTGAGATAAAATTCTGGTGCAGTGCTACATTTCAAATAACACAAAACAGATCAAATTCTTAATGGTCTATAACAGATGGACTTAGTCATCACGCAAATGTCTGTTTCTCCTCTAATATTTTCCTGAAAAAAATAAACTCATACCTTTTATAGAAACAAATGGGATGGTGTGCTCTGTGCACCTTCTATTTTCCTAAAGGTGCAAGAGAAATAAATGAAAAATTTGAGCTTTGAATTTTCATTCTGATAAATGCTGAACATTCTAATTAATTCCAGGGTCTTGGTTAAATCTCTTCCTTCTGTATGACTGGAGGCTTTCTCTCTCCCTCCTCCTCACTTTGATTTTTTTGACACTGTAGGAAAAAGCTAGCTATCTTTTGTTTTAGCTTTAATTCAAGAATCTGGAGGTACTAACTTTATGATTGGTTGTTAAGCACTGATTTCTGGCTTTATCTGAATATTAGCTTTACCTGCTTATAACGTTCATATATCGTTATTGGATATTCCAAACAGATTAATCCAAGACCTAGGGTCATATATAGCTTGAAGATGAACTGTGGATAAAAATGTTCTAGGCCACGTACATCTCACTTGGACCCAGAGGAAATTGTCACGTTTCTCTACACAGTAGTACATTCAATATGACATATTAGGATATACTGGTATTTAGCTATGCACACTCTGTGATAGTTTCAAAGAACAGAAAGATTGTGGAATAAAACAATATATATTTTTTCTGGACCATATGAAATATTCATATATTATCTACTACTCAAATTAAAAATAACTGTTACTTATATTGCTAAGGATTTATTTGCATCACTTCATTAATTAGCAATTTACATTGTATCAAGTGGACTTAAGTCCTCTAATAGATTCCAAATGGGCCATTAGGTTATTCGATTCCAGTTAGTTTTATACTTATTCATGAGAAGAAAGTGCAGTAAAAAGATTTCCTAAAGGAAAAGACTTGTTTGGGATTCAGTGTTTAAACAATAAAAACACAAAAAAAGATAGACATTGCTAACTGTGACATATGTATAAATTGTTTTCCCTGAGGATCTACAACCTTAATAGTTCAGTTCTTGTCACTCTTTGTTGTCTTTCATAATCGGTTCACATAGGGCAAGGATGAAGCTGATTGGCCTGCTTATTATACCACTTGTTAAAAGTAAGGATCTGAGTAAGTACTTCTTGAGGTGGTGATTATGCGGGAAGAAAAAAGAGAGAGAGAAAGAGAAAATTATCATATTCCCCCATATTTGCCTTTGCACAAGTTGTTCCTTTTGCTTTTTTAAATATACCCTTCCATACTTCATCTCCCAATTTCCATGTCAAAGTTCCCAAATCTCACTACCCATCATCTGTAGGAATGACCTTCTTCCCTGTAGTAGGCTTGAGTATTGAGAACCAAAACTGTCTACCCCTATGTAATGCTTAGAGGCTGAAACCGAAACTACCTCCCCACCCACCCAACTGACTCTCTGTATTAGGGGTTGGCAAACTTTTTCTGAGAAGGGCTAGATAGTATATATTGTAGGATTTGCAAGCAACATAAGATCTTTGTTGCATTTTTTCCCCCTTACAACCTTTTCAAAATGTAAAGCATTTTCTCAGCTTTGCTTATAGGGCTGAATTTGGTTCCCAGGTACAGTTTGTAGATCCCTGGTCTATATTAACATAACTTGACTATACTATTGTCTCCATTAGCATGACTTTACTATTCCACAAAGGGACTTTCCATAAGAACCAACAATTCTTCAGTGGCAATCCACAATTTTCACCC